ACCCAGGACACCTGTTTTGACAAAAGACTGGTTGTATTGGTTAGATTTGTGACCCCTTAAATTCACGTGGTGCCTCAGGTCCTCAGAGGTCCCAGGCACAAGTCTCTGTGCTATAGCGAAGACTTTTCCTGCGAGGCTTTCCCACGTGTCAGCCCTCCTGCCTCTGGAGAACCAGCTAACCCCATCGCTTCCAAAACACATACTGGGATCAAGTGCTCTGGCCTTGCCTTTTCCTGGCTGGCATCCCAAGGTCTAGGGATCCCAAGGTTTCGGGGGGATCCCTACCCAAGCTTCCCAGCTTGTTCTGTGCTCCTGCTCCTTTCCTGGTGCTTCCCTCTTTCGGCGGAACAGGCTGTGCCCCGGAGCGGGCTGGAGGGAGGTTGTCGTTGGGGTCTACGCCGAGTGAACAGCCCGGGATTGTCATGTTTTGGGGACGAGGTGACAATTTGAATCTCTTTTTATTTTCTTCCTGCAGAATCACTGGTTCACCTACAACGAAACCATGACGGTGGAGAGCGTGACGCAGGCCGTGTCCAACCTGGCGCTGCAGTTTGGGGAGGAGGACGCGGACCCGGGGGCGATGGTGCGGAGCTGGGGGTGCTCTGGGGAGGTGCTGGTGGCTCCCCTCTGGCTTTGCCCTCGGCCACGCCTGACCTCTCGGCTCCTTTCTCTTGCAGTCTCGTCCGTTTGGCGTCGCGCTGCTTTTTGGAGGAGTGGATGAGAAGGGACCCCAGCTGTAAGTTCCGCTTTCTTAATCCAGGGCAGCTCTGGGAAGAGACAAAACCTCTACTGAAACTTCCCAGGACCTTTTAATGACTTGATTCTGGGATCTCACTTAAGCCAAACACTTGGGGTTTATCCCATTATGTACCTGTTAATGCTTTTAAACCCAGCCTGAGCTCTGGCTGCTGGTTTGGGATTGAAGGGAACGCCGTGTCTTCACTGATTCTTCCTTTTTTTACTGTGGTTTCCTGGGCAGGAGGGAAGTGTTAAAGCTCTCCTCATCCCGAGTTTATTCTTACCTTTCCCTAAAGGACCAGCAGAGCCACGGGTAACATAATATATAGAGCCTGCTGTGACATTCCTTGGGGAGGTGGTGGAGTGCTGGTAACCTGAACTGGTGCGCTCCAGGCCTCCGCTGGAGGTGGGAATGGCTCGGCAGAGCCGGCCCGATAAGGTCTCCCCACGGCCTCCCTCCCAGGAGCAGTAGTGAAATCTTGCTGACTTTATTAAAAAAAAAAAAATAAAAATAAGGAGGGGGGGGGAAGAAAAAGAAAAATGATTCTGCTGTGAATACAGAGGGCAGTGTCAGGAGTGTGTAGCTCTCCTCCTAGCTGGCCACCCCAGCCTGGGTCTGCAGGTGGTTTCTGACGCTCCTCAGACCTCGGTGGTCTCCTCCGCGTGCCGGGAGGAGAGACCTGCTGCTGCTGGGCTCCTGGCGGCGCTCCCCTGAGGAGGCTGGCCGCAGCGAGGGGGCGGCTGTTGCTCTTGAGGAGCCCCTTGTTCTTCCCCAGCGCTGGGGAGAGTCGTGGCTCTGGTGGGAAAGCCCTTGGGGTGCCAGGGTGGAGGGGGGTGCAGCGGCCATTCGCTCTCTCCCCCCCCCGCGTCCCTGCAGGTTTCACATGGACCCCTCGGGGACGTTCGTTCAGTGCGATGCCAGAGCGATCGGCTCCGCCTCGGAAGGCGCCCAGAGCTCCCTGCAGGAGGTTTACCATAAGGTAAAAGCTGGCTTGGGGTGGACATCTCCCAAATCACCAGGATCCTCGGGTTTCCTTCCCCGTGAGGGATTCCTAAGACTCTCCTCGCGCCGCAGAGGAGGCGCTTGAGCTGCTCAGGGTGGGACTCGCTCCTTGGCGGTCGACGCGGGGTCGGCGCTGAGCTGCTGGAGGGGGGAGCTGGGCGAGGAGGAGCGCTGCCACCAGCAGCTTCCCCCTGGGCTGCCGCTGGAGCACGGGGCTGGTGTCTGAGCTGCCGGGCTCTGCCTCCAGCGGGTGATAATTAAGACCGTGGCAGGGGGCACGCTCCCAATAAAGGAGCTGCCGGACGGACGCCGTCAGGGCTCGGGGTGGATGCAGCCTGGAGCGTCAGGAGCTAAAGCAAGCGGCTCCGTTGCACCAAGCCAGGGAACTGAACGGCTTTTGTGCTGCAAGTGCTGCTCCTGGGTGATAATAGACCCTTTTTTTCCCTCCACAAGAAGGGAGCTGCCCGTTTAGCGTGGTGAGAAACCAAACGCTGCAGCGGAAAGCACAACTGCGGGTGTGGATGGCTGTGAGGGCTTCCAGCCTGAGACTGACGACCTGAGGTGTTCCCTCGCAGCGTTGTCCCAAGTTTTGGGGCTTGTGACCCGTCTTCCAAGTGCAAAGCTCCTGCAAACGCCGCTCCCGTCGCTCTTTGAGTGTTGCACGGCCCTCTGGCTCCTGGCTCTAGTCCCCCCTCATGCAGGGATTTACGTGATTAAAGGATGAAAGCTTCTGCCAAGAAGGGAGTCCGGCTTTTTGGAGCTTGTTGGGGGGGGGAGGAACTCCTTGATAGGCAGTAACTGGTGAAGAGAAACGGCCCCTGGTGTCCTGGTCCTGACAATAAGGTTCATGTGCCCAGATTAGCAGTTCTTGAGCTCTGTAAGAAGTGACACAGGAGCAGGCCGTCGCCATCCTTGCCACTGTCACTCTCCCGCCCCGACAGCGCGCTTTGATCTCTCCTTGCTGCTGTAGATAAACCTGATAAGCTTTTCAATCTGCTGCCAGCCACAGCTTAAAGGATTTGGGGGGGGAGCGGGGAGGGGGAGCACCTGCGTGAGCCTCCCCGGCGCGACTCAGCGAGGGGTTTGTTTTGCAGTCGATGACGCTGAAAGAAGCCATCAAGTCTTCCCTCGTCATCCTGAAGCAAGTTATGGAGGAGAAGCTGAACGCCACCAACATCGAGGTAACCGGTGGCTGGTCGGGTGAGGAAGGTGCCCGCTTGCTTGCTGGAGAGGAGGGTGGCCTCCTCCTCCTCCTCCTCCTCCTCCTCGAGCGAGGAACGGGTAGCTGGAGCGGCTCAGGCCCTTCACCGCCCGCGCCTGGCTG